TCTCTCGGGGTGTGGGTCGGGGGCTGGGGGGTAGGGTGGGGCTGGCTCTCTCCAGGTGTGGGCGGGGTGCAGGGGGCAGGGCGGGGCTGGTTCTCTCGGGTCCGGGCGGGGTACCCCTTTCTGTTCTGAGGCTCATCCTTGCTGTCTCTGTCATTTCAGCTCAGCCGGCAGATCTCCTGAAGGTTCTAGACTTTCACAGCCTGCCCGACGGAATATCCAAGACCACAGGTTTCTGTGCCACGCGGCGGTCCTCCAAAGGTCCTGATGTCGCTTACAGAGTCTCCAAGGACGCACAGCTCAGCGCGCCCACCAAGCAGCTGTACCCAGGTGAGGGACGCATGTGTCTGCCCGGGGTGGTTCATGCCGATGGTCCAGTGTCCAGCTGGAGGGCAGTGCCAGGGTGTTTCGTGTAGAAACTAGTGTGGTTTCCTGAGTTCTGTCGGATTTCATGAAGGTGAAAACAACCCCGGCTGCTGTCACCATCTGCCACCAGAGGGGGGCTCGAGCTTCACCGTGCCCTTGGGTCTCCCAGCAGGGAGGGCTCCAGGTGTATAGGAGTAGCCAGGGATGAGATTCCGAGAAACCTCAGGGTCACAGGAAAGGAAGTGCTCCCAGGCTGACGCTTAATGGCAGCAGTGACATTCAGAGACAGGTGGATCAAACACCATGCTCCCAGCAAGCGGAGCGAGGCTTTTAATGAGAATCAATTGCCAAGCCCCAGGTCCCTGCTTCTAATTACACGTCCAGAGCAGGAAATAAGGCTAGCTGAGACAGCATCCAGGTTGTCCCTGTCACCCAGCCACGGGGCAGGACGAGTCACTCCAGTCCTGGCTTAATTAAACCCTCTAGGCTTCTCTGCAGAAATCAAGCAGTGTGGATGGGCTCCCCTGCCGTGGGGGGGTGTGGTGACCTGGCCCAAGGTGAGCTCCCCTGACTCAGATAAGGGACTGGAATGTGGGGACGTGGCAGGGCAGCAGCTCCCTGCCATGCTGAGAAGATGGTGCATCCTCTCAACGGTGGCCTGGATGTGACCCTGACGGTGACAGGGCCTGAAGCCTTTTAACAAGCGGTCCTGCTAATCCTGTCCCCGTGTCCCCGAAGGACCTCGTCTTTTATTGGCTGTGTTTTGGCTTCCTCTGACCCTTCACCCTATGGGCTTCTCCCAACGATTTTCTCAGCCTTCCTTGAAATCCATCCTGACTTTTAAGACTTTGTCTCCGAGGGCGAGGTTGGGCCAGTTCTTGCAAGAATGTCATTTTGGAGGGACGGGATACCTGAAAGGCACCTGTCACGCCTTGGAGCGTGTGGAGATTGCGTGTGGCAGCCCGGGGCCCCTCGTGGCCCACAGCCCCGCAGAGAGCCCGGTCCTGGTCGTTTTCGTGTTGCTAACCAGAAGTGCCTGACCTGGGGGTGTGTGAAGGGTGGGTGTCTCTCTGGCGGTGGCCCTGTGGGCTGGAAGGCCAGAGAGCATGGGCCTGCCTGGCGCTGGGTCGCTACTTGGCCGCAGGACCAGGAAGGTTGGCGGGCCACTTCAGAGGCTGCTGTGGGCAGCACTTCCTCTGAAGCAACGTCCTGCAGCAGGGCCAGCCCTTCCCTCTAGCAAGAAGCTGCTCCATTGATGAGAGTGGTGTCTTGTCACCCAGCACCGCCTGCAGGGCCTCCCCTCCTGCAGCTGTCACCAGCTTCTCATGCCATAAGGCCAGGGACCAAACTTCCAGAACACAAACCTGGGGGGACAAACCATCACCCAAACCAGAGCAGGCCCAGCTTTGGGTGTCAGTCATCCTGGGTCAGAGGTCACAGCACGGTGCTCTCACAGCTGGAGACGAGAACTTTCCTGCCAAGGACCCGCGGAGCTTTCCCTTTCCTCACACTGCTGCTGAAGCGGTTTTGGACCCTCCCGTTGAATGCTCGCTGGCATCTGTGCCAGGGTCGCCCGCTTCGGGGCCCTGGTGTAGACAGGTGGGGGCCGGGGCAGAGAAGGCATGAGGCGCTGGCTGCTGAGACCCTGCTGATGCTCAGCCTCAGTGTGCCGGCGGTGAGGTCCCCTCCGAGGAGGCCCTGGCGGCCCAGCGGAGGCAGCCTTCAGCTTGTCTTCATGCAGTGTCTTCTCCCTGTCCTCTGGTCCAGGGCCTGCACAGCAGTGTGCTGGGGTCCGTGACTAGACCCTCTCCCCGACTTGCGACACGCACTGTCACAGACCTCAGGAGTGGTTATCGGGAACCGAGGACTCCCGGGCCGTCTGGAAGGGATTGTTTTTAAGCTCACGTTTCTTCTAAGCTCTCAAATCAGTGGCTTAATGGACCCTCAGAGGGTTCGGGTCGCTCCTGCAGGCCCTCCCATGGCAGGGTGGGTCCGTGTGGAACGTGGTCTCATTAGTGGCAAGAGAAACTGGAGATTGCTTGGGCACCCTTGAACAGCGAGTGACTGCGGGGCCCCTTCAGGTCCCGAGAGCTCACCCCGCGATGTGGCGGTGCTTACCTCGGGCTGCTGGGCCTCTTCTTCATTTTAAAAAAATGTTTCTTCTACAGGGCACACGCACCCAGCAGAGAGAGGGGAGAGAGAAACCATCTCTCGGGGGATGGCCACGCCACAGTCCCTTCTCCTTCACGCCCTTTTCAGGAGTTTCAGTACACCTGCACATGTACCCAATGTGATTTTCAAGCTGCCGGGTCTGGGACTTGAACTGTGCAGCCGGCTCTGAGGGATCCAATACCTGGCCCCCAGAGCCCCTCTGCAGGTCCAAAGTCAGAGACCCCTGTGACGTGACAGTGCTCACCTCACACCCAAGGGGCCCGCCGTCCTTTCTGCTGGGTCGCCTTCTGCTCGGCTGCCTTAGCTCCTGTGGGGCGGCAGAGCAGGCTCATTCCGGGTTTCCGCTGCACACCACTGGGTGTGCAGGTCAAGCCCCGCGGACGGCCGCTCCTCTGGGATCTGCAGGGTCAAATGCTGGCCGTGTTGGGCAGGCCTGTCTAAGAGCTGGGGGAGGCGTCTGTCAAGAGCCGTCTCCCGGGAGTGGCATATCTGCTGAGTTTTAGCTGCCCGTGCCTGCTCGGTGGCTGAAGAGGAAGGGACAGCGCGTCCGGTCAGCCATAGCCAGAGGCGGCCACATGGCCTGGGCTGGGCATGGACGTATCTGTCAACATCTCTGAGCGCGAAGGAAGCCCACATCCAGGTGACTTGTTTTCATGACCAGGAAGTTCCCGGAATCCTCCCTGAGGGGGACCTCCCAGACTCAAAGTGGCTGCAGACAGGGGATCCAGGCTGTGGTGGCGTGCCCCTACCTAAGCTGAGCAGGCGTTGACGGCCTCTGTCCGGCCCTGGACCCCTTCCTCCAGCCTAGGCTGGATAGGAGTGAGTCTCGACCCTCCACCACGTGGCTCCACTGTCCCTTTCCCCAAGGCCCACGCACACCACCAGGGCCATGGGCAACCTGAAACAAGTTCTGGTCCCCTCTTGCCTGGGACCAGGCCGGGAGGTCCGCACCCTCTGAGGGGCTGTCACCACCCTCTCCGAGCAGGCCAAGGCCGGGCGTTTACACCTGCACTGCGCGTGGCAGAGGCCAGCACCCCTCCAGCCTCGGGCTTCCTCTCATCTTGCTTAGACCTGGTGACCGGGGTCCCGAGAGGTGTCAGACCAGGGACTCTGGATCTTCCTGACAATTGCTGCTGGCTGGTCCTGAGCCAGGTCAGCCAGCTACAAGGGTCAGAGCACAGCCCAGGACTGTGACCTCGGTGGTCAGCCAGCGGGCTGGGTGGAGCCTGCCTGCGCAGTCCTGGCCGCAGTGGGACCCCCAGCCCTGGGGACCTTGGCAGGGTGTTGGGGTGACGGTGGCCTTGTGCATGTGGCAGGCAAATCTTCCCCCTAAGGCTGTCTGCCTCTCCTGGTTGTCCACGTCTGCCCAGGGGTCCTATGATCACTGAAGTAGCGCCTGGCTTGCGCTGTCTTTCTGAGGATGACCAGACAAGGCAGCCCTCCCTGAGTCCCTCTCCCTCCAATGAGTACCCAGCTTCTCCTCTGCTCTTGTTGCCAGGGTGGGTCCTCTGTCCACCTGGCCCTGCCTGGGGAATCCCTCTGTCAACACCCCTTTCCTCACAAGGTCTCCAGGACACCCTCTGTGCCTAGGGCCCGAGGTAGGGGCTGTACGGAGCCATGGGTCTGGACACCGAGCCAGCCCCCTCACCAGCTCTGTCCTTACTCCAGCCTTCCCTCCACAGAGGGGCTGAGGTTCCAGAGCAGCCTCCGTCCGGCAGAATGACCTGTTGCCCCTCACTGCCCCCCCTGCCCCCCACCCTGTGGGAGACTATAGAACAGGCCAGGCAGGCACCCTGGGCAACAGCCACGCTCAGCACAGCCTAGAGAGCTGCTGCATGGGCAGATCACAGGGGCCGAGCAGTGGGAGGGACAGGGCACACGGCTGTCTCCTCCTGGGAGATGTGGGGCTCCCCCGGCGAGTGGGTGGGCCTGCCCCTCTGCACCCTGTACGTAGGATGTGGGGCTCCCCCAGCGAGTGGCCTCTGTACCCCGTACGTAGGATGTGGGGTTCCCCTGGCGAGTGGGTGGGCCTGCCCCTCTGCACCCCGTACATAGGATGTGGGGCTCCCCTGGTGAGTAGGCGAGCCTGCCCCTCTGCACCCCGTATGTAGGATGTGGGGCTCCCCTGGCGAGTGGGCAAGCTGCCCCCTGGTGTCTACCTGAGTCAGAGGCCTGCCCACCTCCTCCTGCCCCTGCTGTCCTGCTGGGCCAGTTCAGTGTGTGAGCCCTCTGACCCTGTCGATGCAGTGGGCCTGGCCCGCAGGAGGCTAGCAGGTGGCAGCTTTCCCCAGGAGGGGCTCGCCTCTCCAGGGCGGACCAGGGAGGAGGGGCCTCTTGTCGGGACTGAAGAAGTGAGGAGTGGCCTCACGTGACCCTGGGAACCCCGCGCCTGCAGCCTGGAGATTGCTGGGCTCCTCTCGGCCCTGCCCAAGCCCCCAGGGCCGACTGCAATGTCACCTCCAAGGTCTGTCTCCTGTCCTGTCTGCCATCCCCCAGGTCACTCCTGTCCTCTGCGTCGGTCCTCGTCCCCAGCTTCCCTGTGTCCCACGCCTGCGCAATTTGTAGTTAACTAATTCACCTGATATCACTCCTGTCCCCATGGTGGGATGTCATTCCTGAGGACAGGCCATCCGTCCCTGGTTAGTGTCTGCTTGGAGCCTGGCCCATCGCAGGGCCCAGTCGCTGGTGACAGGGTGATCCGATCACGCCATCTGCCACGTGCCGAGTAGCTCACGGCTCAACCCCGCGGTCGTGTCGCCCACAGTAGCCCTGCTATGTACCTGTCGGTGCCTGGGCTCACCGGGAGGCGTGGCTGAGCCCATGGAACGTCTGGCTGGGCCACCGCCACGTGTCTTCTGGGAGATGAAGAATGAAGCGCTCGGGGGCCCACTTCTCTGACCACCAGACGGTGCCGTGGACCGGCGTCGATGTCCCCGTCCATCAGGACTGGAATGGGCTGTCCTCGAGCTACAGAAAATCCATTGTTACTTTGCCAGGAGAGAGATTAATGTTAAATGTAATTTATTCTTCCAGGTTTTGTCTGAGCTGAGAAAATTTGTTACCATAGAGATTTTAAAAACTGAGAAGCAGCATTTTAATGAGCTGCGCGAGTGGAGGCCACGGCCCCCAGCTGTGTATCACGCTGGAGCTGCACACTCTCATCGCGTTCTTCTGTTTTTAGGACATGACGGTGACTGTGAGGGATACACGTTATGGGTGGGGACAGGAGGCAGGTGACCCTACTGTACAGGGTGCCAGGGGCAGGCCCACCCCCTCCCCCAGAGACCCCACAGCCCCTGTGTGAGGTGCCGGGGGCAGGAGGTACAGACGGCCTCTTCGCAGGGTGAGCAAGGGTGCCCCGGGTTTAGGGCACGAGAGAGCAGCACCTCTGAGGTGCTTCAGGTCAAAGCCGCCCAGGCCCCTCGGTACTCACTCCTCGCCAGGGACCAGATGGAGCCCCCAGGACCCTCCCTGGCTTCTCTGGCCGGTCTCCACTGTGGGCGTCCGGCAGGCCCTGTCCTCCCCTGGGTAGAGCAGCAGAGGCTGTGCCCTCCCCTCCCCCCCCGGCCCCGGCTGCCCAGCATGTGAGGGACAGCAAGGTCGATGGCGCCTCACCATGCAACTGCGAGGTGGCTCCCAGGGATTCCTCCACAGGGAAAAGCTGCCTGAGCGTCTCCTGAAGTCTGCCTCTCCCCAGGGACTGCGTGCTCACCTGCCACTTGGACCTGTCCCCTTGCCTG